TGAACGGTTTTGGAAAGAAGATGAAATTCCCCGTCCACTCATATAAGATCCATGGTGATTGGTTAGAAATCCAGTGATGATTTTTTTTCTTCTTCAAAGTGTTCATCTTATAAGCAGAATTGTTACAAAAGTCACTCCGTATGTGGCCACGCGTTACTAGTATTGATTTTGTTTTACCCCGACGGGGAAACTTTTCATTGAACTAACGCGATATTGGCTCGACAATGGCTCTGAGAGTTTTTCGACCATGACGGGGCACTTTCCTGTCTATAGAAGGGCACTCTCCGCCACTTAAAAATGATAATGTCATCCCTGACAGGCCACCGAATAGGGCAAATTTGGTTCTAGAAGGGCACCTTTGTCCCATTAGAAAAATGAAAATGTCGCCCCTGACGGGGCGCTCTATGTAACTAAATAGAATGTATCTGCTCCAGAAGTGCACTTTCATTCCCTTGAGGGTAACAATACATGTTTCCCGATGGAACACTTGAGGTAACCAAATTCATTCATTATTGTCAATGTTCACACTCATGACATGTAAAATGAATCGTAAAAAATGACACAGTGGAAAAAATACGCACTAAATAGTAAGGCCACGCCCTGCTTGACAGGGATGGAAACCAATTTGAAGAAGGGTACTTTTGCCCCTCGAAAATGACAACTTTTCCCCCTCCTGACTGGCCACTCTTAGTAACGGAATATGGCAATTTGGGGCCTGAAGAAGGTCATTTTTGCCCTCTGATAAATGAAAATTTCGCCCCCAGATGTAGGATTTTATCCGATCTAAAAAAACAATTTCGACCATTGAGTATAAACTTCATTCATTATTGTCCATGTTTTCACTCATAACATGTAATCTGAACCGTCAAATTGACGCGGTGGAAAACAAAGTGACAATGTTTTATTATGCTTCTTTCAACTACCACCACCACTGGAAGAAAATAAAGAAAAAAAAATCGTATTTCCTTGTGCCCCAACGAAAAAGCAAGCCCCCCAAAATTGCTCCCATCAAATTTCAATCCCCCTCCCTTTTTTTTAAAGTCTGCATACGCCACTGAGAATACCAAACGTCATGATATTTTAATTCGCATGATTGTACAAAAAGCTTGGTCAATGGATTCGGACTGTTTCAACAACTTAATTACGTGCCCTCATAATCACCGCATAATCATACCAAAATGAAATATTAATGACCTTTATACTCACTTCTTGGTTGCGTGGTTCGTTTCCTAAATTCCGATTTTACTTCAAAAAATGTAGGTGTGTCCAGCACGACCAGAGCATGAATAGAGTCCTCAATGAATCATAAAATACACCAGCTTCAAGTCCATCAACTCAAATGATTATAAAATGATGATTGTCAGCATCGTCATAGAAACATTATGGTTCGTATCAGCGCTATACTGAGCTGTAGGATACATTGAAATGAAGGGAGGTCGAAGGAATATTTTTCTTTGGTAAATGCACGAGCAATCAACGAATGACGGTATATAAACAAGCTCTGCCCTATCTGGGGTCATGCTTGACTAGGACCTGATATGCATGAATGAGTGTCTGATGTCTCGATAATATTCCAATCAATATGTCCGCATGAACTTCCTTCTAACGCATCGTTATCGGACGGATATTCTAAAAATAAACGGAAGGGAGATTTGCGCTTACTGAACGTTGGGTACCAGAGGAGGGTATTTCCCGCAAGTTTGATCTTCCCTTTTTATAATTGAACAGATTCCAAGGCGAGGGATTTTTTTCTCTCGAGGGATTGTGATTTAAACAAAGAGAGAGGGAAAATAGGGACAGATTGAAGGGGAAGAAAACCAAAACAGGATACAGATTTCAGATTTCAGATTTCAGATTTCAGATTCAGATTTCGTTTGATACATCTGCTATGGTATCGCAGTCAATCCGTATTACTGTGAAGTGTGCATGAATGGGGAGGTGATGTGGAGAAATGAGAAGATGGTAAAGAGGGTTAAGTGGTGATGACGGGGATGGGTAGAAGATGAGGCCGGAGACCGGAGTAGTGGGGAGAGTGTGGGAAGGGAATGGGGAAGGGATGGGGAGGGAATGGGATGAAGGTAGAGGAGATGACAGGGGATTATGAAGAGAATCATAATAGGCTACTTCATCATCAATCGTTTTTCGATTGAAACAGAGATAGGTAGCTACAAAACTTCTTTTTATTTATAATAATCTCTGTGCCTAAATTCAATTAAAAAATAAGGTGATACAAAAATATAAAAACATGGATTAGAGATACTATTGTTGAGTAGCTCCTCCATAGTTTCGAATTGAAAACAATAATAGGTATAGGGCGGAACCCTTCTGAACGACCTGTGAAGGAGGGAGGGGTGCCACGATAAATATCTGGATACGGTACCCACTTGCAGGATGTATTGACTGTGTACTTGGCTTACTAACGGGCAGGGGCGTAGACAACGGGGGGATGAGGGGGGTGCATCCCCCCACCTCACAAGGTGGGGGGATGGCATGTACAATCATCCCCCCAGGTTTTGGGGAATGATATTTGCTTACTTAATAAGTCATAATGATGATAATAATAGTAATAATAATAATGATAACAATTATAATATTAATAATAATAATAATTATGATGATGATAATAATAATCCTCATCATTATTGTAATTGTGTTTATTGTTATTAGCCGCATTCACACGGTGAAAGCCAATTCAGACGGTAAAAAAAAGAAAATCTTACAAGTATTTTGTGGTTATCTTGTGGTTTGGAAACCACAAGATAACCACAAGATTAAACAGGCGCGGATCTACGGGGGGGGGGGGTTTAGGGGGTTAAACCCCCCCCCCCCTTGGGCGGCCCAAAAAACAAACAAAAAGAAAAATGGAAAAAAAAAAAAAAAAAAAAAGAAAAAAAGAAAGAAAAAAGAACGCACGCTGGAGAGAAACCCTTTCAAGTGCAAATATTGTGAGAAGATATTCAACTCATCTGGTAACTTAACCAAACACATGATAACACTGGATATAACTGTGTATTTAACTGTTACTCTTGATTTAAAAAGACGTTATCATGCACTGCTTTTATGGTCTCCATTGTGTTAATAGATGCCAGGAAAACATCACTTACCGGGTTCAAATAAACACCCCCCAAAAAATTGGCTCGCCGCTTCGCGGCTGGTGGACGATGCTCTGCATCGTCATTATTGGTCAACCCCCCCCCCCCCCCCTTAGCAAAAAGCTAGATCCGCCCCTGAGTCACCCCCAGGTGTACGAACCTGTCTACGCCACTGCTAACGGGGGAGTTGTTGTGGGTGTGGGTGTGTATAGGGATGTGAGGTGTAGGGATGAGTGGTGTTACGCCTGTTACGAAAACCGGATACACCATGCTGTGTCATGCTTCGACGGAAAGCATATCTTTTTCATCCATTATCGAAACCATCGAGTCATACTATGATGGGGAAATTATCGATGAAATTGAAACACTCCAGCTTAACGCACAGTGCATATAAGCATGCTCATCCAGTACACGACTTATGTTAATATTAACATAAGTCGTGTACTGGATGAGCATGATCTAGCAAAACGTGTTAATAGATTAAAATCATCATCAATAGTGATCTGTCAGTTTATGACAGGTTCAGTCACTAAATCGAAATTTTATATCAAGTGTCTCTCCAATTAAATTCCTCAGTCTTGAGCCATCCGTTTCAGCGTTTCATATACCCTGTTGATTAAAATACAGGTCGCTATTATCATACGTATATCGACAGGATGGTTTTAGCACAATTGTTCTAAACTGAGTGACCGTGTCACCGTGACGATCTTCATGTGAAAAAACACGTTTATGATTAGGACAATTACACCCTAGACAATCACCCCTGGAAAATCACCCCCCCCGGGATATCCGAGGAAAACCACCCCGAGAACAATTACCCCCCCCCCCCCCCTGCCCTCCGCCCCCAAAAGACAGATCCCTGTTCATTCAAGGGAAACTCTACCCTGATAATTATTTGGTTTTGATAAAAGCAGATTGTTGTCCTATTTCCGGGGGTAATCGCCCTCGGAGGCAGGCACGTAGCCAGAGTTCGATGTTTGGGGGGAGGGGGGGGGGCACCTACATATAATCGATCGAGGTCAAAAAAGGGTCTAAAAAAAGTTCAACCGATCTTGGAAATTTTAGGGAGCACGTGCCCCGTGCCCTACCCCCCCCCCCCCCCCGTGGCTACGTGCCTGCTCGGAGGTGGTTGTCCTCGGCTCAGGGGGTGATTGTCCAGAGGGAAATTGTCCTAGAACCGAAAGTACAATAGTACATTTTACCAACAAACAGGTAGAGGTGGTTTTGTCGCCCACTCTGTAATTCTTGGAGTCAGGAACAGTGATCGGGGGGGGGGGGGGGGGGGATATACGTTCCCCGAAAAGTTTCAGGCGTTGTATAGGTATATTCCCAGAATGTTTTGGGATTACAAAATATATGGTGAATAAAACGGGTTGCGAAAAACTTGCAACACATTTGTAGGCTCTGTTCTATAGAGTTAAGGAATGCAAGTTTAATATGCAACGATCATCATTGCTTTAAACAAACAAAAAAGCAAAATCTCGCCTGGTCGCTAGCTCGCTCGCATGAGTATAGTAAACAATGTCAAAGATATTTATACTGGAACTATTAGTATGCCTTGGGTCTAATACGTCGCCGCCTCCCCCCCCCCCCCCCAAACAAGTTTTTGCTGTTCTTTTTTTCTCCTTTTTTTGTGTGTTTATTTTCGCTAATACAGTACATATGTATGAGACCTTAGCCTTGTTCCATAAAACTTGTTATCAAAAACAAGTTACAAAACTGTTATAATCTACTGAAATCGGGTCATTTGATTGGCTGGAAGCAAATTTGTTATAGAATTCTAGCATTATTTTGTTATTGATAAAACAATTGTTTTTGTTGTTTTAATTTTAAAAAAACGGGGATCTAATGTGCCCCTCCTTCATTGCGCATGCGCGTGCGAGCTATAAAAGTTTAGTAGGCCTAATTAATTTAGCTGCAAATAATTAAAAGTGGAGCCGGTGGGTATCTTCTGTTTTGGTGAGCTGGGACATTCTTATTTTCTTTTCCCTTTTCCCCCCAATGATATTTGGTCAAGTGGAATAATCTGATGAGGCCTAAAACGCCTAAGTTAAAACAGATTTAATGTTTGGTCTGAAGAAATATATAAAGTCAACTTTGCTTTTTATTGCAGCCGAAAATTGTGTCGTCCCACGGCCTAGGCCTACCGCCTACCGGAGCTGCGGGAAGAAGTGGCTGCCACATCGGCGGCATCCCTTGTCATTGGCCTTGGCTTGCACAAACTAGCTTCCTAATCCTAGAGTAGCCTAGACCGAAAGCTTCAGTCTCTAAATGTCGACGGTTGTTCCGCTGAGATTACATCTGGCTCCTCTGACATGGGGAAGGTTGTCAAATGACAAGTTTATTCAAGAATAACCCATAGTACCATACCATACCAGACGTTTATTTAGATCTAGGTCTAGGCCTAGACTCTAGACTATGTATGTCTACTTTTACTACCTTTCCTGCCTAATTAAGTCGGTGCCTTGCTTGGACTTGGTCCCTGGCTGGGCCTTGAATTGAAGTTTGAGTTTGATGATTGATCATGATGATTATAGTGTAGGCTACAGTTAACACTAATTTTACACTTAAAATGCGATAGCATTTATTAAAAATCTTAAATAGACCCTAGAGGCTAGACAATATAGATCTAGTCTTTGTCATGCATTTTAATTTTCAGAACCAAGTCCAGACCAAATAAAAATGGATCAAGCTGTCCTTCCAACTCGAGGTGGAGCCAGTGATGATCGACCTAATTTCACCAAACCTGGTGATATTTTACCCTCCCAAGCAGAAGGACCTAGATCTACATGTTCCATATTTGAAGACCCACTTGCGGCCTCGGCTAGTAGTAGTACCAGCTTTGAAGACCCTGCAGATGATCTTATGAAGGCTTATGTGGGACAGAGAGAAAGAAGTCCACATCTTGATGAGATAGTCCAGAAAGATGGACCCAGACCTGGTCCTGGAGTTGATGCATCAGAGTGCTCAGAAAGCAAGATGGCTTCAAGTCTTGAACCAATTGATGCTGTGATGACGGGTACAGAATGCAAAGATTTTATTTCATTTTTGGGTAGATCCTACCCTGTAGGCCCTAGAGTCTGTCTAGATCTAGATCTAGACTCTAGACTAGACCCCTAGACTCTATATCTTTTCCAACTTTTTTCAGATCTTTTACAAAATAAATCTGTTCAGCCCTTTAACATTCATAGCAAGACTTTAATAACAATTTTTTTCATTATGAAAGATAATTGTGACAGTTCACAAGTCCATATGCTAATTTCATTAGTTAAATGTACATTCTTCATTTATTTACCAGACTATATGTTCCATGTAAATCAATATACACAATTTGAAAACACATTTTTTATTTTCCACTCTTCAAGCAGATGATTAAACAATATTTTGTCAAAACAATATTCAATCATATTTGAGGAGTATATTCAAATAAGATTTTTAACTTGAAGCAAAACTCTGATCTAATTTTGTGCTCTCCTTTTCTCCTTTTCTGCCTTTTAAATGTGTTATTTGCTCTCTTTTTCTTCTTCTACTTTCCAGAAATCGACAGAGCAGTTAAGATGGAATGCATGCAGTGGACTCAAGTCTTCATGTAAGTGGATTTAAGTCTTTTGTTTCAGGATAACTTTCAATTAAATTTGCTTCAGCAAGTAATACATCTAAATCTGTTCCAGTACCATTAGTTGAATAATCTTATTTGGCTGAGTACTTGATCCTCTTTTATCAGTTACATTCTCCTATTTCTCCTCATTACCTTGATTATTTCCTCTCTTATTTCCTGAAATACTTGTGACGACTTTGGAGTCAATTTATCAATGTTACAGTTGTTTTCCCCATCCGCCTGCTTCTTCTTTCTTAATCATAATCTTTTAAAAGACTTTTTCTCATTGCTTATTTATAACTATTGAATGAATTATTTATATCATTACCCAAACATTGTAACTTCAATATGTCCATTCCACTTGCCCTCATCCCCCCTTTCCCCTTTTTAGAATTGTATATCCCCTCTCTCTCTCTCTCTCTCTCTCTCTCTCTCTCTCTCTCTTTCCCTCTATCTCTCTACTTACTGTTTCTTGCTCTTTCTGGGCTGTCTTCTCTGTCCCCCTATTTTTTAAATGTTGCTACCTCCTTTTTTCTTCTTCTTGCTTTCTGTTTGTATCTCTCTCTTTTTTTCTGTCTCTTCCTCTGTCCATTTTCTCTTTCTATGTCTCTCTCCCTCTGTGTGTGTTCTCTTTCTTCCTCCCTCTCTCTCCTTCTCTGTCTCTCTCCCTCTTTTCTTTCTCTCTCTCTTTCTCTGTCTCTCTGCCTGTCTCTCTACTTGTTTCTGTTTTCTCTTTCTCTGTCTCTCTACCTGTCTCTCTCCCTGTTTCTGTTTTCTCTTTCTCTGTCTCTCTACCTGTCTCTCTCCCTGTTTCTGTTTTCTCTTTCTCTGTCTCTCTACCTGTCTCTCTCCCTGTTTCTGTTTTCTCTTTCTCTGTCTCTCTACCTGTCTCTCTCCCTGTTTCTGTTTTCTCTTTCTCTCTCTTTCTCTGTCTCTCTCCCTGTTTCTGTTTTCTCTCTTTTTCTCTGTCTCTCTCCCTGTTTCTGTTTTCTCTTTCTCTCTCTTTCTCTGTCTCTCTCCCTGTTTCTGTTTTCTCTCTCTTTCTCTGTCTCTCTCCCTGTTTCTGTTTTCTCTCTTTTTCTCTGTCTCTCTCTCCCTGTTTCTGTTTTCTCTTTCTCTCTCTTTCTCTGTCTCTCTACCTGTCTCTCTACCTGTTTCTGTTTTCTCTTTCTTTCTCTCTGTATCTCCATCTCTCTTCATCTTTCCTTTCTCCTGTCTCCATTTTAATATGCTCCTCTCATTCGATGTTCTACCTCATTCTTCCTGAATTAGTTAAAGCTTATCTGCCATAGTTTACAGGAGGGATTAGACCGCCCTGCAAGGTCACTGGACAGATGGTTATCTCATCAACTCAGCTCTCAGTTAACATAAGAAAAGAGGATCATGGGGAACCAATGGTCACCGATTAGGCATTGTTTGTTATATAGAGGGCGCAAGTAGCTACAAGTAGTGCAGTGGGCCTTTAAGTTGTCTTTCCTTTTACATTTATTAAAATAGATATACTAAATTATTTTTATACCATTATCAAATTTGTTGCATCTTTCTTTTAGGGAAAGTGATCAGTTTGAGGTGTTGAGCTCCGATCACGTTGACAAGCTGCTGGAAGATGCCAGAGCACTGGAGGAGAACTTGCTTGAGAAGAAAGAAAGATTGTTATCCCATCTCAAGCTCCTTTCCCAGACACTCAAACTACCCTAGTCACGTGAGATGGGAGAAATATCTTCATATGTGGTTCCCAAATGGTGATCGAGCATGCTCAATTGCAAAATAATGGATTTTTAAAATTTGTTTAAAGATTTTTCTCTTCTAATTTTTTGGTGGCTACATGGTACATGTATAAATTGTATTAAAATTTATTTACACTGTTTGCAACTTCCAGTCTGAGATGTAGGCCTATATGCACTGAATCCTATTTGTCCACTTTTGTTACTTGTACATGTAAACTCGATCTGTATTGATCCAATTCTGATCATTATTTCATTATCTATACGCAGCTGGTTAAGTAATACTCATTGGCATATTACGTCTGTTTAGAGCCAGTAGGGACATTAACTCACCATTTCATACAGAGTTAATGCCCTTCTGGCTCCAAAATAACAATTTACACTAGTTTAAAATTCATTTCAAATTCTGTATACAATGTACCAGTTTTAAAGTTGACCTTAATTGAGCATGCCCTAAGTTCAACCATTACTTTTTATTAGATAAGCAATGAATGTTAGCAGAGATAAAAGACATCAAGGAAATTGTGTAATGTTTCCTTAACAAGTTATACAATGTCTAGACACTTATGTCACTGACACTGTTTAATTAAGAGGACATTTCCATTATTATCACTTTCTGGTTCTTTCCACTTTTTTTATGGTTTTAAAATATCAGCACTTGTAAATATTGCATAATTCATTCTAATCCTTTGTTTTATATTCTTTGTGCTTGAAATTTATTGACAATTCAAATGGCATCATACCTTGTGATCTTACATTTAAAAGTGTCCGTCTTTCTCATTATCTCTCTCTCTCTCTCTCTCTCTCTCTCTCTCTCTCTCTCTCACACACACATTCTTTACCCATATCTTCCTACATATGGTGTGCTCTCTCTTCCTCTCTCTCTCTTGTATCATTATTTATCTGTCTTTCTTCTCTGTCTCTCTCCTTCAGCAGTCTTACTTTCTCTCTCACATTCTTTCACCGACTTGTTTTCTCTGTCTCCCTCTTATATAATTCTTCTCTGCTTCTCTTCCTTCACTTATCTGTCTTTCTCATTATCTCTCTCTTGCTTGCATACTTTACCGTCTTCCTACATGTACATCTGTCTTGCTCTCTCCTGTATCATTCTTAATCTCCATCTTTCTTCCTTCTCTCTCTCAACCATACCCTATCCGTCTCTGTAGCTGTACCCTATTCCCCCCCCCCTCCTCCCTTCTTTTTCTGTTTGTCTCTCTCTCTCTCTCTCTCTCTCTCTCTCTCTATCTTTTTCTCTTCCTATTTCTATTCAGCCTCTTTCCTTCCTCGTGGTCTTTAGTGAAAGCAATCTACAGTGATTTCAAGGTCCATTTCCTGTTCTTCATTTCCTTGCTAAATTCACAAAGATCACTTAATGCTTCCTTTATCCCGCATGTGAAATCCACACATGTGGAATGATATAATTAGTTCACTTAAAATCTACAATGTGTATAATACAATTGAGATGTCATAATCCAATTATAAATGTACGTTGTGCCAATGATTCTAATTATGGCTTAATTTGTATTCAACATTAGCATTGTAATATTAATGAATCCTGCTTGTTTTGTAACTTAAAGAGTTACATGATTTCAATAATTGTACAAATTCACAATCATCATATGACTTGACAGTGTGGGTGTTTTCATTGTTCGGATAACAATAAACCAAGATATGTCTTGAATCTGTTGAATACTTAAAATTAAATTTCTCACGATCCTAATCTTAAGATTATTTTTGTAATGCTTTTCACAAAAATACCTTATATCTTTCAAACTTTACACAATAAGCCTAGACAATGACATTTGGAAAAGCCCATTAATACAGTCAAACCTGTCTATAGTGACCGCCCAAGGGAAACACAAAAAGTGGCCTTTGTAAACAGGTGGTCTTGGGAGACAAGTTCCTTCAGAACATGATTCAATGAGAAACCATTTTCAAGGGAAACGACAAATGTTGCCTTTGTAGACAGGTGGTCTTTGTAGACAGGTGGTCTTTGTAGACAGGTGGTCTTTGTAGACAGGTGGTCACTAAAGCAGGTTTGACTGTACTTGCAAATGTATTGTTGAATGACCTTCTGTTTCACACTCTCACGCTCACACAAGTGAAAGCTCAATTCTATATGATGGACAGAGGATGATCAGAATTAAGATTATATAACATACATTTATTATAACAAATCTATATATTACTTGTATTTTATCACAAATGCCTTTCTTCTTTGATATTTCCATAGTACATATACATATACAGGGAAGGAAGAAAGAAAAGTTAGGCTGGGAGGGGGAAATAGGAGTGAGGGAGAGCTGAAAAGGAGACTGAGAGCAGTAGGGAAAGAGGTAGAGTGAAAGAGGTAGGGAGAGAGAGAAGGGGAAGGGAAAATGAGATAATGGGGAGGAAAGACTGAATGAATTTTACACCATATCGATGAGCAATATCCAGATTACAATCATGTCATTAAATTCCAAAATAAAGACTGAATCTGCTGACTAAAATATAACATCTAGCAATAGGAGTGCATTCATCTATAATATCTGAAGTAATCAGAACCTGCATAGCTACAACGGCTTTATCAAATAGCATCCTACAGGGAATAATTTTCCTGGTATCGCATCGCAATTTGCTATCCATTTTTGCATGACTGCTATACAAAATATCTTTTGTGTAGCAGTTTTCTTCCATAGAAATGTACAGAATTTCATTTGAAATATTTATCCATCAGCTGAAATTGCTAATCAAAAAATTTGAGGAAAATTATTCCCTGTCCTATTGCTGCAAGTACTTAATATACACACTTAATATAGATTGGTCCAATTAAATAATACTATAGAGTATTTGTAATGCGACAACTCCACATGAATAATGTTCACAAGGCGCATTGGACAAGGTGAACAACTCCCATATTTAGGCGATCTTTCAATTTTGAGGTAGTCCCTTTTTCATCATGCAGGTATACTTTAAAGATAAAGTTGAGTTCTGGTCATGCGATTGCATTGTGAAAGAAACATGGAAGGAAAAGGTTGATCATCTAGCATATAAGTATTGGTGTGTACTGCAAGGTTCTGGAATCATCAAAATATTAAGAAATTTGGCCCAGTCTTGGTAAGCACTGTACACAGAAAGATGTATATGGGAATACACAAACACGTGGCATAAAAATCCGTCCAGATTTTTATGATGTTATTTGCCATATTTAGAATTTTAAGAAATTTGAAGAGCCATGCTTTTCAGGAAACATCTTTTATCTGATTTTCTTCCACACTTGCATAATACAATGATATCGCTCACAAATTATTGTTCACCTCTTCCCAGAACTCAACCTTCTCTTTAAATATTGATTTTAATCAATGTGTTTAGATGGTAATTTTAGATGTTAATTTTAACATCCATGAAGCAATTAACAGGGAATGGAATGTGAAGAAGAATCATTTTGCCCTGGTATATAAGGCTTGAAATTAATTATTGCTTGACAATCAGTACTGCATCGGCAACAGTGTACCGGCTATAACATATGTCTGAAGCAGCTTGCAACACAGCGTGTGAAAGCTTAACAAAACAGGTGAATTTTCTACTGATTGTGAAGAAAAACCAATCTGATAAACCTCTTCAGTGTTATTATGAGGGCTTCAATGCAGTAAAATTGTCAGTATACCCGTTAATGGCAAATTGCAAATTTTAACTAGACACATTTTGATACATTTCATAGCAATTCTTGACTTAAAATAATGCTCGTCTAAATCTGCAAAGAACATCCCTTACCAAACAAAATGATTACACAAACATCAAAATAACTTGGCAAGAATGACATGAAACTGATTAATAGTATTCTCTCTAAGTACAAAAAAGCGATAGCAATAACAAGCCCAAAGTGATATGGCTTCTATTCAAGCTGACAGTCAAGCATTACATGACTGTGTGGAACATGATTACATGATGATAACATTTAGTGTCCTTAAACTGTCATTCAATTAAAAAAAATAACAATAATAATGTTCGATTTTTGCTTGTTTTGATATATATATATATATATATATATATTTTAACACCTATGTAAATAAACTAAATTTCTCAGCTAATAAGTCCAATGACAGGTCCTTTTCAATAAAGTTATGTCTTATACCGGTATTCAACTTTCACTGAAAATTTCTAAACGAAAATAGAGTACTTAAAATTAAAAATAATGTACTAGATTAAACCATCTCGTGATTTGACTATTGTCACATTCTTGTCTGCATTTTATAAGAATTAGCGATTGTGGTCTAGCATCAACAAAGCACATTTCAGCTTTGCTAATAAAGAGCGTTGACTTTGCGAGACATTCTAGAGCATGTGCCATGAGCACCCATCAGAGGCAGATACTGGCAGTATACAAGAAGTCATCACCAACTTTATCATTCAATGCAGATCATTCCAAGAGACTTTAAAGCCCCACTGTACTACTTGTAGCTACTTGCTCCCTCTATATACAAAACTTCCCCAGTCGGTGCCTGTTGGTCCCCATGATCCTCTTTTTCTTATGTTAATTGAGAGCTGAGTTAATGAGATAGCCACCGGTCAGTGATCTTACTGGGTGGTCTAATCCCTCCTGGCCAGACTAGTACAGACAGGCTTTAAAAGTTATGCCACAAACTTTTTTTAGTAAATGCCTGATCTATTTATATCTTTTTGGAATAAAGATCATCATTCTCATGACCATTCCAATCAATGCATCGATAATCAACTCCCGTTACCACCACTTCTCACAGAAGATATCTGATGGAGGGATACCCGCGTTGCTTAGCAACCCCTCCATGTCAGCTATCATAGTAGGAGGACCACAGACGAAGCATCTCAGAGGACCTCCTAACCTCTCTATAGCTGCCTTGATGTCACTAGCGTCTATCCTTCGATCTGTATGAGGACATAACAATATAGGAAGGAATATAATGATTGAGTTTAATTATTTTTTCCAAAGCCCATTAATACACTGTGAATACTGTAAAAGCACTGAAAACATGATCCTTTACATTTTACAAGCTACAAATTTCAACATCTGTATTCTAGTTAAATTTGAACGGGAGCATTTTCAAAGTTTCTCTTATTTCAAGGGTAGCTGGTACATATCTTGTAAAAGATTAAAGAGAGAGAGAGTGTGGGGAGAGAGAGAGAGAGTGGGGAGAGAGAGAGCGGGTTATATATACGGTATATAGAGAGAGAGAAGAGAAAGGAGTGCAGGAGTGAAGGACCATGAATACTTGTTTTAATAGAGAGATTAACGAGATAAAACATCCAATTTCCCTTCAAATCCCAATCAATTACTCTAGGATACAGTCGTAAATCAAGGATTTGAAACAGAGCCTGAAAAAACATGTCACATGCATGAAATGATGGTTGAAAGAAATGGAGAGAAGACACGTATACCATGGGGGTTGTCAGAGGACGTATACATCCAATGTACCCTTCTAGATATGCCACTGTACCACACAATTCTACAGAATTAATAGTGATTATATTTTAACTTTGTTTAACCACTTTTTTAAACGTATGTTCATAGAACTTTTTACTAATGTATTTTAATTCATGCATGTTTCTTTTAGAATCCCAGGTTACTAACTATTGAATTCAACGGCTGTAAATAATGGCATCTCTATACATGAAATCCACTTTGCACACATAACTGTTGCTATGTCTGGAAGGTCTCTGGAAAGATTTTGAGTTGTCAAGGGAAACCTTTTTACAAGAAGTAAGCATAAAATTAGTAAAAAAAGGTCTACTGTGCACGATGTGGAACCATAAACTTCCATAAATTGTTTTTAAATATTTATTATTAACAAAAAAAATCATGGCGAGAAACTTTTGCGAATTGCAAATGTCCTTGTTTTGTGTTATTGTGTTATCCTTTTCCCTGAATGAAACTTTTGCAAATCTGCATCTCTCCCAAAATTAACAAACAGGTTTGTGCAAAAGTTCTCATCTTACAGCATACGTTACAGCATACATGTGTAAAAGAATACTTCTATCGATTACAGACTTGGGCTTACTTGATATTGATGAATCTTCAGCCGACGCTTTGGTCACAAAAAACTTAGCAGCGATGTTTGGAGAATGCTTCGATGTCAAGTCATCAATGGTGTCCTGTAAACAAATGAAAAGAATTTGTCAAAGCAATTATTGATTACAACACCTAAACATTATGGCCCGAATTCACAAAGGAGGTTAATAATTAACCGTTCTTGTATAGTGCATAACACATAGTAATAAAACATGTCCCTAAGTGCTCTAGAGAAAAACACAAGAGAATACAAAGACAAGATGTACTGGGTAACAGACAAAATGGATGAATTAAATGTTAAATAAGTGCGTCTTTAAAGCAATCTTAAACTTAACAATGCAGTCAATGTTTTTTAGATGTTCCGGGAGATTGTTCCATAAAGTTGAGGCAGTGTGAGCGAAGCTGCGTTCACCATATGACCTGGTCATCATTGGTGGAATAACAAACAATTTTTTTCTTATTAGAACAAAGATTTTTAGAAGGTGTGTACAATGTTAACATCTCTATCAAATAAGGAGGCGCAAAATCATAAAAACATTCATAAGCTAACAACAATATTTTGAATAAAAAGCGAGAGTGAATGGGTAGTGTAAGGTTTAACATTAACCATGGTTTAAACCATCATTCACATAACCCATGGTTTAAAAATTAGCGCAAAAATAAGTGTACCTTGTGTTGCGCGCGTCTAATATTGGACCTCTGACTGTGTCCCGCTTATTTTGGCTCAGTTTAGACAATGGGTATGTAAATGAAGATTTAAACCATGGGTCAAATTAAACCTCCTTTGTGAATTCGGGCCTATAACTACCAGTACAGAAAAACCACCCAATGGAGTTATAGACATGGATCTTTATACACAAGGGACCTCTGAATACAAGTTTTCAAAACACAAGAGAAGCATCGTTCAAGAGAAAACAAAAAAAAAGAGGTTGTTATGAACAGGTATTCTCTTTCACATTATGATACAATTTAAATGAAATTTTGGGGCTCCCAACACTTTAGAGGAGCTTTAATGATAACAATATTTAATCATACAAACCTTGAATATGAGCTCACTCTTGGAGGAAGCACTGAAGAGCAGTTCCATTTTGCCCGGGGTGTATCCCTCGGGGTTCCCCTTCCTCTGATCATGCAGGTCTGCTGCATGATGCATTAACGACATGAGGGGATTGATACCGATCCCCCCTGAGATGAGTAGAACGTTCCATGAGGGGTCACCAGGTTGAGGGTCAAAGACGAGTTTGTCACCTCCTGCTCTGACCTTGACCTTTGACCCTACGACACACTGGAACAACAAAATGAGGATGAGGTCAATGTCTCATGAAATGAATCATGAGCAAAATGACAGAAATGCAATAGAAAAACTTACTAATGTAATCAAAATTCATCTTTGTAAAGTGCCTCAATACAAATTATTTAATAGTCAGATATGCAATAGAAAATTATGTAATGTAACCAAATTCAATGCGTACATCTCTGTGAAGTGCCTCAATACGAGTTATTCCGTTGACCCGTTACAAGTGATTGTTATTCAATGGTAAGCTAGCAAATAGGCCATTATCATAATGTAACCAAATTTAATGCATACATCTTTATTAAGTGCCTCGATACAAATTATTTAACTGACCTGTTACATATAATTATATCTCTATAGTCAGAATGCAATTTGCACACATGTATATTAGTCCAGCTGAAGCATGAAACATGCCTCTAATTGCATGATGTGTTTAGTTTGTTAGCGTATTTGCAGGGTTCCCATTTTAACACCATGTACAATGAAATATGATCAAAATAAAATAGTTAGAAAAGCAAGAGATGCATTCATTTGTTTGAATTTTATTTTTCTAAATTCCCTTTTTAAGTTCCTTTTTAATTACTGGAAAATGTTGCATGAAATGGAAAAGAATAAGAAAAATAAAGAGACATTAGATGTACTGTAAATGTATCCCTACCTAATATATAATAATATTGGATATTTATATAGCGATATCCACAATGCAAGGCGCTCCAATGCTACCCCAGCTCTGCTAGGCTACGATTTCGGTGCTCACAGCATTCAAGGAATTCCTTCCTACCGGTACCCATTTCACATCTGGGTGGAGAATGGCAAATGTAGAATAATGTCTTGCCAAAGGACATCAGTGCTGTTGGAGGACTCGAACCACGGACCCTGTGATCTACAGTCTGACGACTTATCCACTGGACCACAACACTTATTCATAATTTAAAAAGTGCCCCCCTCCATTTCTTTCTAATGGGGAATAACTTACCTACCGTACATTTGAACAGAATATACATGTACAGTACATGTATAGGTAAACAGTTTTCCCCAGTGGTTGACATTTATAAATGTGCATCTAAATCCTAATCTAAATTGTTGGGAAAATTACCTGTTTATGGACCCAGTGGGCAGGGGGATGTGCACTGTATTTCACTGCCAGTCCCACATGGCCCTTTTCACGTAAGGGTCTTGGTGCTGAGCTCATTGAAAACCCACCCACTGTAGTGACCCCTGGCATGAAAATATCAACCCTGGTAGATTTCAAAAGAAAGATGAATGAAAGTAAAGATGAAATCATCATGGTTTAGTGATTTAAAATATGATTTTTAAATGTCTGTTAGATTGCTCTGCACATTTTCAAAATGGACATAGCAATTAAAAGCAGATGAAATTTGTTGCAAATGAGCAAAATCAAAGTTAATACAAGTTGATGGCAAATGGTATGGTCGTACCCACCTTAGAAAACAATGGAGATGAAAACAAGGAGTAATTATGCATTATTAGAGCATAGTTTGGGAGAAAAGAAAGGGTTTTAATATGTTAGCGACTGGTGAAGTATACTTAAATTACAAATATGTAAATTAATTAATATTTATTTACTAAAATTATATTGTATAAGCTGGAAAACTATCTATTTTTCATGTTTATATCAGGATATATAAAAAAAAATAAAACAAAATAAAAAAATCATGATATGTTTTGTATTTCAATTTTGTTTGATTTCCTCTGAATTTGTAAGCTTTAATTTGTACAGGGCCTTTCAGGAAAACAGTATTACTACTGAGATGGCTGCCCTGTTTAAACAAAACAGATACATGTAAATACATATAATAACAAAATACAATTTTGGGTCATGACACAAAAAGAAAAAGAAATGGAGGATAATAATGGTACAGATAATGGTAAAGTATTCATCTGTTGAACATAAATAACCAGTACAATGCTGTTTTAACAAAATAAATTTATCAGAAAAAAAGAAAACAAAAGGTTATTCAGGAAAAAAAAGAAGCAATTTTTAAAGCATGTTTTTGTTTCATGATTTAAGGAAGCAAAATTTATGCAGGTCATTTTAGAGTTCTAAGTGCAGAGTTGCTTGCATTTAAATAAATTCATGTAAATCAAAGAAATTGAAGCAAAACATTTTAGGTACTTTAAAAAAGGCTTTAGGACACCTCCTTGATCTGAATGCAACAGGAAAATTGGAAGTGAAATGTAAAGACCAATAATTCAATATGTATTCATTTATATTGATTCATTTCAATGTGAACCCTTTGGTGCTTAGTCCATGCAAAAAAAAGGAGCTGTATCTCCCAAATTGGCAATACAGAACCTAAAAAGCATTATTTGCAAGAATACACATTCATCATCGCAGCATCTAAAATAATAAAACAAAATGAAGTTCAATAAACATGGTCAATTGGTTAATGGTTATTAAGTTATTTCAACAAATTAATTTTTTTTCAAGCTTAATGAAGTTAGAACCTTGTTATTGCAGTGAACTGATTTTGTTTGCAAGTACGGTATGAAGACAAGGTTGCAATAGTAAACAGTGTTGTGAGTGAGAAAAAAGTAAAAGCAAATAAAAATATGATGCCTATTGCCACTGATGTCGTACCGTATGGTGAAACCCTAGCCTGAATAACCAAACCCATGCATACATCTCATAGCTATCAGTAATAACATGCATTCCCTTACGCCTTTGCTTATAAATGCTTTAAGTGTTTTCTTTTCCTGTCGGCTGTTTAGATTGCATGCATACTTAAAGAACATGTGCTAAGAATCAAAGGGTATTAAAGATAAAGTTGAGTTCTGGTCAAGCGATTACATTGTGAAAGAAACGGTGTGGAATCGATCAGAAAAAGTTGATCATGTAGCACATGTACTGTAAGTATTGCTGTGTACTGCAAGGTTCTTGAATCATCAAAATGATAAGAAATTTGGCCCAGTCTTGGTAAAAGTAACAAGTACTGTACACAGAAAGATATGGGACTACACAAAGATGTGGCATAAAAATGAGGCCCACATTTTCATATTTAGAATATAAGGCATTTGGAGAGCCATGCTTGTCAGGGGACATTTTTTCTCTCATGTTCTTCAAACTTGCATAAATAACAATGAAAACGCTCACAAATTATGTTTGATTTTCATCTCTCCCCATAACTCAATCTTCTCTTTAATGTTCTTTGAGCTAACTGCAGATAGATATTCATCTTCCCCACACACATGATCTTATCTTAAAGGGAGTGTATCATGGCAAATACTGGTTAACGCCATCGTCTTCTTTTGGACAACTGCACGTAAACGAATGGACTTGATTAACTGGGTCAGCGCGCGCTAGCGTTCGCAAAACAGACCAAAGTTCTCCTCACGCTTCCGTTTCGACTATGTTGCACGCACGTGAATGCCGCAGTTGGGTCGTCCAGTCTTATTATACCCGATTGACCCCGGGTAGGGCCACGGAAAAGACGCTTGTCTCATCATGACACACTCCCTTCAACTTCACTATCCTGTACACTTCTTATTTGCAACCAGGCTGGTTGCAACACAGGGTCTGAATTCTCTCTGGGTCATAGACTACCACCTACATGTATATAGGTACGGTAGTATACAATAAAATATTAAAGGAAAGAATTGCCATGCAAGTTTTAAAAAAAGCTATTTAAAAGCTGATTTTGGCTTGGCTCAACCACCTCGATTGTTGTTCAGTGCCAAAAAGAATCTGTGCTGCAGATAATTATGCATTCGCTGTTGCCTTATTAGCACAAACCCCCTGGCTTTTAAATCATATCTAGGTGTTGATTTACCTGATTATGCACCCATATAGTGGGAGCGTAGTCACTGAGTTTAACAGCCAAGTCTATTGTGTGTGTCTCTTTGAGCTGGGTAGGACTGGAGTACATGGAATACCCAGTGAAGATATCTATACCCTCAATGAAAAAGTCAACCCTAGATGCAGGAATTTTAAAAAGAAAATACTGGTAAGCTTTAAAGGATTGGATATCTTTGCCTCAGATTCTAAACGGAATTCTGGATTTACCTCATGCTGCATTCATATAATTATAAACCTTTAGGTCAGTCAGGATATCCCATGAATTTTACAAGCCGATTGCCTGTCTGATTATCGAGATTTTTATGATTGGAAATCAAATCTTCAAAAACCGTTTTCCCAACGGTTTTTATAAAACTATTTGGGGAAATGCGTTTGGTAAAATTGGTCACTCAAAGATTTTTACTTTTTTGAGGCACTTCATGATAATTTTGAAGCGCAATTTTTGTAGGGCTTCAATATTACACCATATCACAGATAGTGATAAGATGTAGGGCCATGCATCTCAGATTAGTAATACTGGAAACATTGCAAAACGATGCCTACAGTGTATAAGATCTTTAAATTGGCAACATGATGAAAGGTTCAAATTCAGTTCTCTTCCATAAAAAATGGCATTTGTAAATTTTGTATCCAATTTAACAATTTGGACCAGAAATACAGAGACACATAAATGCTGTGAATCTTTATATCATGAAGATTTTAAATAACATTATGCGGTAAGACCATGAGGGGGTAGTTCATACATTGTATGAGCACAGCGAAGAACAGAGTACTGAATACAAATGAACAACAGAGTATACATGTAGTCTCAAACATTGAGCACATATTCTTTCTTTTCAGAACTTTTCTGAAATAATACTATAAACCTAGTTCATTGAATTATTTTAGTTCTTTTCCATGACAGAATCAACATCAACCCTCGTAAGGGCCCGGTGGTTCAACTTCATATTAGCTTTGTGTAGCCTAGGTATGATAGTTAAAATTATCATGAGAAAAGGCATAACTTTGGCAGATGTTGGTGAACTTTTCAGTGTTCCTAGATTTGAAGGGTGCTTTTTATTTGCAGAACAAGAAGGTCCCACAAAGGGTAATATGTTTAAAAGATGAACCCTCAAATCAAAAAGAAAAATATAAAAAAGGTAAATTCAATGAGTGAAACGGAAGAGTTCTATTTGTGAAGTTGTTTTGATAAGCCCAAAATAGAGTAACATTTAGGGCCTATTTGAATTTGTACCTGTGTTGGCCCCAAAAAGTGTAATATTTAGTGGAAACTGTTGTTGAAGGTCTGTAAATAAGGGTCAATTTTGTCTCTGCTAACGCTCGTACAATACCACTTTGACTATGAAGTGACGCCACTGATCATAAGGGCTACCCATTAGGTGTTACACAGAAATTTTATCTTCTCACAATGAAGACTTACAGAGAGCACATCATCAATAAGCATTTCTCACCATTGGCCAGCCTTGAAAGTGAATGTGGGGTCATCGACCTTGAGCGTTAGTGCCTTGACCGTCTCGGATGCCTGACTGATGGCCGCTACTTCTGCTTCGCATATACCCTGAAAAAGAAGTAAATAGCATGATTCAGTTAGCAAAACACAATAAATAATAATAATAATAAAATAATAATAGACAAACTTTGTAATTGAATATGATACAAAACATGAAAGAGGATTTTTTAATATCAATGATTGGCTAAATCAAAATGGTTGTATTTTGAGAATGTTTCTAACATTTTGACTGATAATAATAATAATATTCTGCTTTTATATAGTGCTTAATACATCTACATGTACATATACGATGTCCCTAAGCACTTTGGCCTATTTCTATTTTAATCAAATTCAATTTTTTTAAATGGAGAATTTACAAAGTATGCCAGTGACCTGAGACAAGGACAGAAATGTTGGAGGGGGGGGGGGAGGGGTAAATCATAAATTCTATAACACTAGATATTGGGGGCATGGGGATGGGAACAAAATGATGAATGAAACAACTCAGTTTCTTTTTGGTGGCAAAATGCAAGTGACAGGAGTGTCGGTAGGGAAGGAGGGCAGATCTTTCCATTCAGAATCACTAATGATGGGGGGGGGGGGAGAAAATTATTCATTTTAATTGTTTGATACTGAAATCATTCTCATCTCCATGGAATGAAGTCACATTTCACAGCGCAGCTCACAGAAGGTATGTCTTCATCAGCTCGAGATTGCCAAATAACCTGCTATTCCTGATTTGGCAAATAAGCCCAAAGTTACAAATCGCGTCCTCATTAGCTCGTAACTCGAGCTTGAGAAATTAGCTTGACATATTTTGTTCAGCAATCCCGCATAGTGCGAGTCTTCAGGCTGGTGAAAACGCACCAGACAAATAGCGGGATGTTTTGCAAACTAGCACAAGATATCTTAGGATGATTATCCCGACCAAATATCCCGCTAATTGCAACTGCGGGCTAATGAAGACACAAATTAGCTGGATTGTTTGCGATCGGGATAATTGAAATAGCGGGATATTTGGCAATCTTGAGCTGATGATGACAGGCCTAGAGAGAGAGAGAAAAAAAAAGAGGTTATCTCTGTCCAAACACAGAACAGCACAACCATAACAAAAAAAAGAGTGAAATTGGTTCAGGAGTTACTCACTGGTTCCCTGAAGCTTTGAGCCGTCTTGTCCATATGGTCACTCATTGTTCTCACAATAGCTGAACTGTAAACCCTAGAAATATTTGAAAAGCAGTAATTACATACAAGCATCGAAACGGTACTTTTTATACCATACATGTACAGTATGTGTGAAATTTGTGCATAATCTTAAATATCAATGCTCAATGCTATTTTGTTTCAGTTTTGTCGCTGCTTCACAGGAGTTCCTTGAAGACTTTCTACCTCTAACACATGTATTAATGTACAGTCCATGAACCGATCCAGATCGTGTCAAGCAACATTTGTTTCAGAAGTCTGGTAATGTAAGGCTCTTGACTATGATGAGGAAGATGATAATGGGAATAGTAATATTAAAGATGATAAAAAAATATCCAAGAACGATTCTACTGTACTGTAGTCTATACATTGTTCTGTAACATTAATAAATGAGTAACAATAAGAGTAACAATTCTAGTAATAATAATATAAATAATGATAGATCTATTAATAATTATTATCATTAATAATAATAAATTTAGATTTTATATAGGACTAGACTAGAGGTCTACTCTCAGACTCAAGTCTAAAGTAAAGGCCTAATAAAAATAATAATCATAATTCTAGACTAGACTAGACTCTAGGCCTAGATAGAATCTATATCTAGGCCTAATTAAGTTGATCGATGAAAAGAAGAAGAAGAAGAGGAACTAAGAAGTAAGATAGAAGAGAAGAAGAGGAACTAAGAAGTAAGATAGAAGAGAAGAAGAAGACGTAGAAGAGAAGAAGAGGAACTAAGAAGTAAGATAGAAAGACAGTCAAAGAAGAGGAGAAGAAGAAGACGAAGATAAGGAGGATGAGAATATGAAGCCGAGAAGAAGGAGAAGGAGAAGGAGAAGGAGAAGATGAAGAAGAAGAAGAAGAAAAAGTCTGGAAATAAATCCTAATCCTGTTTTTTTGTAATAAAAGAAGTGGTAGGTATACTGCCTATAATACATGTTGTTATGATGCAGTCTATGATGTACTGCACTGGTACTGGACGATGTTCCGTCAGCGGCTGCTACCTATCTTTGCAGCGGGTACTAGCCCGGCGAGAGCACGGGAGCTGCAGCTGCAGCTGCAGGATCTTTATAATTACGCCCGAACAGTTTTCGAAAGCGATTCTTACTGCTATATACTCACCAAAGAAAAGAAGAGGTCCTAGTAATTAAGGTCTTTCCAACAGCAGATAACTGCATGCATCTGGGTGTGAAAATTGGGAACATTTCCTTATTTATCTGCTTTATAAGCCGTCGTTTATTTCGTCACGTAACAAATCCACACACCCGGTCGGATTTCCGAAACTCATTTGTGTGCTTACGCAACTTGGCCTTATTTAAGATGTTATGGGGAAAAACAACAGTTTGATTCATAAATATTCTTTTAAATAGGTCTTTATTTATAATCTGGCATGCTAATTAATAACATATACTACTATTATTTTTATATATTTATCTTTTTATTTATTTATTTTTTACAAGTATTACTGTTAAAACTAATTTTACACGAATTAAATTACAATAATGTGAAACATGACCTGAATATAAGAATATTTTCTACATCTTGTTTTTCATAACTGTAAAAAACACACACACGCGCACACACAGTCGTACACATGCGTTCATCATCCTCAACACCAAACTCAACACCATCACCAGCATCATCAACATCATCATCCAGGGGCGCGGCGGGGGGGACTTGTGGGGGGGGGGGGGGGGCACCAACAAAAAAGGGCACTTTCTGTAGAGAAAAGGGAAATCTCAAAGCGAAAATATACTATTTTTTAGACATTGTTATATACCCCTATTATAGCGATTACATTTTCTGGGATGCTTTCAATTTTGTTTCACTTTATACATAAGGTAGGGTGTGATGGTCTGAATATTCATTTGCTAGCGAGCAAAGCTAGCGAGGAAACATTTGTGAGGTCGGAGTGCGAAAAACAACATCTTATAAAGAGGAGGGGAAAAACAATCCTGATAGGGTTATAAGCGCATTCTCATAACGGAAGACTGAAAAGACCTTTGATAAGTAACATAATTATTATCAAATGCAAGTGAGTGCAGCGAGCGAGCTTTGGAGGAATTGCTCTTAATCGCTTTAAATTAGGGACACGTTTGATGATGAGAGGAATTAGGGGAAACTTATCGAACGGGATAAGACACCCCCCCCCCCCACTCCGGGGTCGGAGGGACCGCAAGCGTGTTCCTAAAATGTCCGGTAAAGTGTAATTTTCATGCACCAAAGTCCGGCTCGTAGTACACAAAAATCCGGCCCGTATTAACTTTACACACCGGACTTAGGGGGTGTTTTCAAAAGGAGGGAGGGAGGGAACATGCATACGCGTACCCTAAATAACACTGAGGGGGGGGGGGGTATGATACCTATTAGAAAAAAGGAGGAGCAAGTGTCAAACTACAAAGGGTAATCAGGCAGAGGTGAAAATGATGCACTTATGAGAATAGTAAATGGGCATTTTGTCGACGGAAATGGGGCATTTATGAAAAGGGGATAGATCCCTTATTAGAAAGGGATCTAAGTCTCATTGTTAAAATGATAAATATCAGACATGAAAAGGGGCACTGACTAGATATGAAAAGATGTACTACATGATAATGAAAATGGACACTTTTCATAGGTGAAAAGGGGGGAAGGAGCTTTTTTTTAATGGGGCACTTAAGGAAAAATGGTACTTATTATAAAGGAAAGGGGCAAATGTGGAAATAAAAGGTGCGCTTATCGGAGTTAAAAGGGGTAGTTATTCAAAAGGGGAAGGGAGACTTCTTACAAAGGAGAAGGGGCACTTGTCAAAGTAAATGGGGCACCTCTCAAAGTTTATCAGAGGTGAAGGGGGCACTTATCATAAGTGAAAAGGAGCACTTCTCGTACCTAACAAGGGGCACTTACTAGGGATTAAAAAGGGCACTTATGAGAATGAAAAATGGACACTTTTTGCAAAGGAAAATGGAAGGAGAAGGTGCACGTGTCAAAATAAAAGGGGCACTTATTATAGGTTAAAAAATAATAGGGGCACTTTTCAAAGTAAAATGGGTACTCTTCCTATGTAAAAAAAGGGCACTTTTGGGGTATTTGAAAAAGTGGGGGCACTGTGCTCCCATGGGAGCGCCACCTCTGCCATCATCATCATCATCATCATCATCATCATCATCATCATCTTTATCATAATAATATTAACCCTTACTGTACTGGGCTATTTTGAGCACCCCCCCCCCCCCCTGTGATCTCGGCCGTTGAATGTCCGATGAACACGGAAATCTGCAGGTTTGTAGATATTTACGTAAGGAACAAGATGGTATAATTAGTTTTTTTCCTAATATGCACATTTTTGTCGTTATAGCTTAATTAGGTATGCAAAATGCTAATTTTATGCATTTTACAGAAAACTCTACATATTAGTCTGTAGACTTGTGAAGAATCTTAAAAATGTATTGAATAAATGTTTTTTCATCTCAAATTCATGAGGATTCATTATATTTATGATATTTGAAGATGCATAGGTTAATCTGCATAAATTATGAATACGCAAATTACACATTCATGAATATAAAATCTGGAAATATACAGGGATCTAGAATCATTTTTTGATTTTTTTTAAATTTTGAACCTCATTATTCATATGAAACTTCTTTCTTACACAAAATAGTTATTTTTATGTAATTAATAATGATAATTTATACAAATTGGATGCGATTTTCAAATATTTATTTTTGATGTATTTTATTTTTTTAATTTTTTTTTTACTATATCTATTTTTTTAATTTCTAATGTATTCTTTTGTTTTGGAATACATCAAGTTTTGAGAAACATATAAAAGCAATTTGATATCAATTCATATCTCCCACTCTCTCACTCTCCGCGTCTATCGTTCTCTCTCCTTCCCCCTCTCTCTCTCTCTCTCTCTCTCCCCCTTCTCTCTCTCTCTCCCCCTCTTTTCTCTCTCTCTCTTCCCTTTCTATCCCCCTCTCTAGCTCTCTTTACTCTAGCTCCTCTCTTACTCCGCGTCTATACTATTTTGTCTCTTTCCCCCTTACTCTGCCTCATTAATAGTGTGATCATGGTTACTATGTTCATAATAATTAATACCACCGTGCTATATACTACTTCGGTCACGCAGGAGGTGGACCAGTGCATAAAGATCTTTATGACATCTTCTTCTTTTTCTTCAAGATAATCTGCCTCCTTCAATACTGAAGATTCTTGCAGATGCCGTATACTCGGCCTGATTGGGGTGTGCAGGTGGACCATTACACCGGGGTTTCCCCCTACTCTTATACGAAAAGTGCAATGGGTTCTTAACATGCAAGGGTGGTGACTCTCCTGTACACGGGGCCTCCATTTAACGTCCTATCCGAGGGACGGAATGTTTGCCACTTGACATAACCTGCGTCTATGAACAAGGGAAGGCGCACGTTAACACACAACGCAGACTTCAGTCATCCGCCTCGGTGGGAGTCGAACCCTGGTTCGACAGGCATACGCTTTACCGACTGAGCCAACTCGCCTCCTCTGTGGAAGTATGTCAACGAAAATCTAGACGCCGAATCCATCGTAGTCGACAGCGACGAGCTGTTGACGAATCCAGCCGAAATACTACCGAAGATCTGCCGAGCGGCCGGGCTGCCTTACGACGAATCGCTCTTGAAGTGGGATGGGTCTTCCGAAGTGACGAAGAGTTGGATGGTTCCTGCGGACCACATCGTAGAGAAGATGGTGTACTTTTACGACAGAGCTATCAGGAGCAACGAATTTCTTCCGGCAAGCAAGATGCCATCACGTGACGAAGTTCGACTGACGTCATTAGATGTACTGATCAGGCTATGAAGTATTATGACGAAATGTATGAAGTTAGGATTAAGGTCTAAGTAATTTATACATCATAATATCTGAGTGATGAATATTGGGGATTTATCATACCCCAGGCAACCTATTGTTGCACAGTTTGGGTTAGACGATCAGAGCAGGCGGGTACGCAGGGGGGGGGGGTAAACCCCCTCCCCCTCCCCTCCCCCTCCCCTCCCCCTTTTGATTTTTGGATTAAAAAAAAAAAAATTTGTGTGTGGATTTTTTTTGTAATTAAAAAAAAAAAAAAAATCCTATTGGATGACCTAAAAAAGATGACCTTACCCCCTCCCCCAACGAAACGGAATGTCGATCGGTCAAATTTTCAAATTTCGGGACCAAAAAAAAAAAAAGTCCTCTTACCCCCCCCCCCCCCCCCCCCCCCCCCAACTTGAAATTTCCTTGAAATTCAGTTACCGTCCGCCAAATGATTTTTTTTGTTTCCTCTCTTCAAATTCATTTTAATCATTTATGCGTGAAATATGCATCATATGAGTTGCATCAAAATTAATGAAAGAGGAGGATCTAAGTTTTCCAAATATGTGTCATTTATCAATTATAAATGTGATTAAGTTATGATAAAACATCGATAATTCTCGGTTTCGTTTTTTCTGGGACGCACTGTATAGTCCCACTGAATATGATTTTCAGCACAATTTAGCCAACTCTTTTTCAATTTGCTAATTTTGAACCCTCAAACTGCACAATTATCATTCGCTGAGTAGAAGGACATAAGAAAAGAAGGAAAATGAAACAAAGAAAAAGTATACGGGAGAAGGAAGATGGAAAAATATATTAATGATTGTATATAATTAATGCTGCCTCTGTTCACTCTGTTGAACGCACATTTTTGCCAGAAAAACTGCTTCACTTTTGAAATTATACATATCTAGTTGTGAATTTAAAAGCATATAATATCAAAGGCTATTTAAACAGCTACTATTCGTTTCTGTTTGTGAAGTTCGAAAGCACATGTACCTGTTCTACTAATAAAATGCTGTTAACAGGCATTATTCGTCTGTGTTACGTATAGTTTGAAATGTAGTTTGGACCCTTTTTTCCATGAATGCTAGGAGAAAAGGCGGGCGTGTGTGTGTGGGTGTGTGCGTTAGTATGTGTGTGTGTGTGTTTAATTGGGTTTTTATAGACGTGTGTCAATCAGATATGTAATTCTAATACCTCCTTTTATCGTATTGTCTTATTTCACTTTGTCCAAAATTAATTTAAATTCATTCGATAAACATAGAAGTAAAACAAAAACGAGCATTTACTGAATGCATGTAACGTCCCCGGCAGAATGGCCAATTGAAATGCAACAACGTCTCTGACGTCAGCACGGAAAGAAGTTCGTTTCACCAAAGTGAATGGTCTTAGCTCTTTTTGGCATTGCCGAGCCTCCTGTGATTTCGGATGAAGGGGACTGAGATAAACCTTG